TATATATATAAACGTTAATTAAATTAGATTATATAAAGTATAAAATATGATGTTGAAATGTAATAGTATTATATAAATAAATACATTATGAGACGGTGATGAAAGTGTGTTAAGGATATTGCAACATATAATAATTTAACTATGAATGAAATGTTTGTAGAAAAAAATACCTTGATTTAATGCCAATGCAGGTACATAGACTACTATCGATTGATAGAGAACCTAAAATATGTTTCTTATGTAAAGATAAAAAAGAGAAAAAAGAAATCAAATTCAATATATTATCAAATATATACTTACTGCGTCCAATACGAATATTAGTGATATTAAAATTCTAACTCCCTTGTTAAATCTTATCTCTAAATACTGAAAAGAATAATTTAATATGTATATATACAAATTATATTTGTATTAATTACATTTTATTTAAGTTCACACGATAAGTTCAAATTTACTGGCATACCTCGTAAGCCGAATTCAATTTTAACGTTACGAAAACAGGCAAATAAACGGATGCAATGACAACTCCGGAAAAAAACAATGATATTACGGTAATCCAATATTGTGTACCGAAATTGTAAATTTCTGCAGGTGCTCCGACAATAGTTACGCCAGATATAAAACTGTAAATTGAAAAAAAAAAAAACAACAACAACTTTATAATAAATTCGGAATTTGTATTGGCGAACGATACATACAAATCACATCTCGTCAACGTATAGAAATATTTATGTTTTTTTTTTCGCAAATAATTATTTAAAGTTTAGATATATAAGCATATAATAAATGATTTGTATAATAATAGCGATGACGAAATAATAAATGAATTTTTTAAAATCTCGGAAAAAGGTGACGAGAAAACTTGTTGTTACCTGGCAATTAAAGATGCAGATACCGGCCAAAGACTAAGTTTCCTTCCACCGAGCAAATAATTTTCTACGCTCGATTTCTGAGCACTCTTATAATGCCAAAGTCCAGCGGCTGCAGATATAGTCAGCATAGCAGCAAAAACCAGCCAATCAACCCAATGAAAGTGTCCGTTCTCAGAACTATTCTCGAACATCTTCAAATTGTGTAAAATATAGGAGAACAAAAATATATGTATTTAAGATCGTAGAAACGAGTATTTAGTATTTGTAGTTTTTGTTTCTTTTTTGTTAAATGACATTCTTACAAAAGTAGTTTCTTCTCTAAAAGATTGAAACACATATTGATTAAGAGAAGAGAGTAATCAGAACTTGAAAGAAAAAAAAGAAAAAAAACAAAGAAATAAAAATAGTAAAAATATAAAATCATTTACACTCACGAACACTGTACGATGATTATTAAGCTCTATTAGGACAAGAAAAATGGCAATGTGAAATGTTAACAAAGACAAATTAACGATCCTTATGTCGAATAACGCGTGTTGATTCTACATACAGCGTATATAGGTCAAAAGTTTAATAAAAGAAATGTTAATAAAATGGTTCGAAGTAAAGGCAAAAGCAATATACATTTTTGGATTAATAATACTTCAATTGTCATGTTTACGTTTTCTAATAACATATCATCAATGGTTTGTTGTTTTTTTTTTTTTTTTTTTTTTTATTTCATTTTTACTTATTGTACATGTCGTTATATTGTGAACAATACGTACAACTTTAATCTAACGGGCATGAGCTTCATAACTTTTAATGAAACAACTAGGAATATTTATATTTTAATTGCGAAACTGCAATGACGAATTAAAGTAAAATATTTCATGAGTAAATATTCAATTTGAAAAGGAAAATAATTGCTAAATAATAAAAGTATAATAGAATATGATCGATTGTGGCTAATTTTAAGACGAACAAATTACATGAATTTGTTTATTACATATCAATACGATCGTATGTATATTAATGGAAGATAACTAATGATATTTTTTGATAAATACTTATATTTCTTAATTAGACATTTTTTTTTTTTTTATGTTCAAGTAAGAAATAACAAGAAGGTTTGTGTTTATTATATTTGACATATATTTATATTTATATATATATGAATTACCAGTAATAAGGAAAGTAGATTTGGACATTACCGGCTGGAATGATTTATCAAATGTGTTATGACTATTAGTCGATAAATAAACTCACCTTTAAATTCTATTAATAATTCTTGTTATATTTAGAAGTTGCAACTGCTATACAATAGAACAAAGTTGCGGTCAAGCAAATTCTCTCTTTATTTGACGATCGTTAAATATTTATCGACGATAATACTGTGATCACGACTCGTTGTAAATCTGAGAATATTGATCGTATTACATTGAACGATTTAAGGACGACCTTGATCTACGATCGATAAACGAATTACTTTGGTCACATGTAGATATACAGTTACTTTAAATTTTCCATATAGATAATATAAAATTACTTTTTATGAAATAGCATTTTTAATCCGTACTTCTGTTTCTTCCTTTTGTTTAGTTTATTAATTTAATTTATATTGTTTAATAAATTGTAACCAAAGTATCGTTTATTAGCAATAATTTAGACTAATCATTTGTCACAAATATATATAGATATATATATATATATTTGTTTCGTAAATTAAATGTTTACGATAACATAATAAATGAGTTCATTTAAAAAGATTATAAAAATAGCAAGGAACGTAAATTGTAATACGTTTAAATATCTTTCTTTCTTTTTTTTTTGTTTTAGAATGATTCACTAATTGATATATATATTATATCGCAAAATAGTATGGAATAAAATAGACAATCACAATCACAAATCTTGTCTATTGGTTCAAGTCATTTTCAAAATAAAACAAATCCAAAAACAATAGAAAAAAAAAAATTCATTAAGTAACTTACGTTAAATATATTATTATGAACAGTTTAAAACAAATAATCTATGCAAAGTAAGTTAATGGGTCGAGTTTGATTAAATGACTATTTTAAATCAAAATCACTGACCTAAAATAAAAGGCACTTGATACTTTATGCTTGCTATCAAAATACATATATTCGTTGAACAAGATTATTGTCAAAAGAAAAAGAAAAAAAATAAACAAAGTATATTCAAAGATTTGTAAGTTCGGTGACCATAGTAAATAATAATTTGTATGATTTGATTAAAATAAACAATTTTATGGGAAAAAATATATTGTTAACACTCATTCACTCGCACATGAAAGATCGGATACGAGAAAGTCGTATCCGTTCGCGAGTCAAAGCAACAAACAAAATGATTCACGTTGATATGGTTACAGAAACTTATAAGTTACTCTTCTGATTCCGACTCAAGACTGACTGACTGACTGACTGAGTGTTGCACTACCGAGTCGTTAACGAACTTAAGATTCGAGTAACTACGTTCTCAACTCCTACCAAAGAAAACGAAAATACAACGATGATGATGATGATGATGATGATGGTATGTAGTATGGTGATGACTATCTTTCGTTTGTAACTTTCGTTGGTTGGCAAGTTTTAAACGGGGATTGAACCAATCAAGATTTATATTAAGAAGATGTAGGAAAAATTCTTCCTCCCTCCATTTTCTTCTTCATTTCTCTCTCTTTCTTTCTTTCTCTCTCTCTCTCTCTCTCTCTCTCTCTCTCTTTCTTTTTCTTACTATTTTTTATTATTATTATAATTCTTTGTTCATTAAATAGAGTTGAAAATGACGAAAGCAGTGTATAATTTGCCACGTGAATTTTTTCTTTTTCTTTTTCTTTTTCAAATAGACAATAGACAAAATATGCGTAGAAATATTCTAACTGGACGTTAATAAAAATTGTTTATTTTCCTTGTCAAACATTTTATTATTATGTTTCATAACGCAAACCATGATTATCGAATAGAATTACGGTACACGGACGTTTATGTCGAATGAAATTTTGATTTGTTTTTTAATGCAACATTTTTTTTTTTTTTTTTTTTAAGTGTCATTTTAATCTATTTTTCATTTTTATTTGTTTATTCCATTTTTTGTTATATTTTACGATAAAAATATACGTAAGTACTTATTGCAGTTTATACTGCTAACATTGAAATATTGTGTGTTATTCCCTTTTTAATCTTAATGCAAATCCATTTCTAATATATACTGTCGTCATCAAATGTACGAACAACCTTGTACGAAAAATGTAAAAAATGAAAGATATTATAACCAGACATAAATTATTTTTATCGTGAATTATGCAGGTCGATTAAGACAAACTACAACAATAAATTTTGTGAAAATTTTCTTTTTTAGTTTTTCTATTTTTTTTTTTTTTTTTTTCCTTTATTATACAATACCAAAGAACGAATATGGCGGTAACATAAAAGTTTGAAAAACAAAATATTATCGCAAATTTGACAA